ATATGTCATGCTCTTATCGTCGTCTAGAGTTATATTGTTGGCAAATTAAAAGAAATGAGGTAATATCATGCATAGAATATTATGTATTTTAAGTAGATAACATTTGTGAAATGTCATTTGGAATGTGTACAAAATTTAAATAAGAGCACAAAATTAAAGTATCGTGCGGGTTATACCCCTTCTGGTTCAGTTTGCTGTTGGGCAGCACCGGAAGTTTCTGGTGCCGCTGCTTTTCTGTGGATCTTGAACTATTTTCCTCCCATTTTTTACCGGCAAGATTCATATGTATAGGTTCTCGCTCTGAATTTTACATGCATTTTCAGATTTAGTGATAAGTCACATGTAGTAGTTCTCTTTACTTTTTGGCTTTTGGTGCTCGGGGAGATAAATTTCGATGTTCTCGTTACTAGTAGCTTCTGAGATTTAAGTAGATATGTCAGTATCTTGTGAGACTAAATTTCCCAGTTCAGAAGTTGATAGGCTCACTGTTTTCTGAATTTTTCTTGTTCAGTAGTGCACACAAATGATCTTTCTTTGAATCCGCCATGTGGTTTAGCTTTTGACTGAATAGTACATACTTCGTGATCTTTTCTCCTTGGATGGATCTTGTGTTCTCTCGATTAACAAGTTCAGTATTTTTTTTTCTCCTTGTTTATATGGTCAATTTATTTGGCATCAAAGCTCTACATGTTGTGCGGGTTATGGGATATAGAGTATTATTTTCTCGATGTCATTTGAACTGGGACGAGAAACCTGCTGACAAGCTTGCGTCTATGTTGATACGGAGTATATTATATTTTGCATTTTCCCTCTATGAACGGATGAAAGTTCTTGGTTGCATGAAAAAGAAAATCTCTTGGTTGATGATATTCCCCTGAATATTTTTATATGCTCCCTTGATTTTATATGCTTGCACAGATGACAGATTTATGTTCAGCTAAATGTCAGCATGGAGATATAACAGAGATACACCATTTATGAATGATTTTTTGGACCGGCGAATGAGCACACATAATTTGTGCACACTTTAGGTTGTCATTTTGTATATTTCACTTTTGGACATCACACGGTGAATGAACAAAATATCAACGGGGGTACCGGTTGTTTTTAATAATAATAACTAGCATGGTGGCCCGCGCAGATTGCGCGGGCTAGCATCATTATATTTTCTCTCATATAATAACATATATGTTTTATCAATTTATTATTAAAATATATTCAAATGACAATATAATTTTAAATTTTACTAACTTTACGAAACTACTAATCTGTATATTCATATTGTATTTTATATACGTGTTAGTTATTAATTATTTTTAATATCAAATTTTAGTTATTTACAAATTATATTCCTATATGGACTCTAGACTCGTCTTTCAATATTTTTTATTTTTTAATTCCGAACTTTCGTTATCTATAAATTGTATTTATATATAAACTCTATGCTCTTCTTCCAATATTATTTATTTTTAATTCTGAATTTTTATTATTTCTAATTGTATTTCCATGTGGACTCTGAACATATCTTTCAATATTCTTTAATTTTTAATTTCGAATTTCAGTTACTTCTAAATTGACTTTAGACTCTTCTTCCCATGTTTTTTTAATTTCTAATTTTAATTAGTTGTAAATTGTATTTTTATACAGGCTCTATACTCTACTTTTAATTTTATTATGTTTATTCCGAATTTTAGTTAGTTTTAAATTCCTATATGGACTCTATGCTCTACTTCTAATATTTTTTATTTATTCATTCCGAATTTCAGTTATTCTAAATTATATATTTCTATATAGACTCTATTTTTCTTTTTTTTTGATTAATATGAGAATTTCTATGCCGTAAGAGCAAACGTGGAGGCTCTTTTTTCTATTCCTTTAATAATAATAATAATAATAATAATAATAATAATAATAATAATAATAATAATAATAATAATAATAATAATAATAATAATAATTATAATAGATATACTTGCATAATACATGTCACTTTTGAATATTATCACATGGTAAGTGAATATAAAAGGCCAAATCTTTATATGTTGTAACGGAATGAGCTCTACTAATCCTATCTTAGTATAAAGTTATCCCCCACTAACTCCTTAACCTTAACATGCAAAGATGCCACATTATCATCCACTAACAAGATGTCACATTATCATCCACTAATTAACAAGATGCCACATCATTATCCACTAACAATCATCACATTTAAACATCATGCAAACATGCTATATTTTTATAGTTTTTATAATTTAAAAGCTTTTCAAATACAAACATGTTAAATTATCATCCAACATAATTCACATAATGTTTCAATGTATATCTTTATTATGTTTTATGATATCATATATACTTATATAGTTCATCCTCACTTAGTTAGTGCTTAAATAATTAATCTATGGTTTAAATTATCTTTCTCTTTTTTCTCTAATTAAGTCATATCACATCAATTGTTTTTAGCCTTTAGATGATTAATCTACCGTCCAAACTATCTCCCTACTTTTCTTTTTCCTTAAAGTCATATCACCTTACTTTTTACGTTTGAATCACCATTCTACGTACTATTTAAATTTAAATTATCATAAACCACATTAATTTACTAATATGATGTTATCTAGCTATCTTACACGCTTTTTTTTATTGTTATCATACTAAATTTTCGCAGCAATGCGCGGGGTTTCACCTACTATGATAAAACCTGCACGTAGCAGCACACTCGCCGTGTACTTCCCTGTCTCCCCTAGCAGGTCAACATGAAAGACAAGGGTCATCGCGTCCTATCCGACCCTACTCGAGCAAAGCAACAGGACACCAAAAAATGAGTTGATCAGATAGCTTGGAGTCGAAGGGTATTATCGGCCGCTCGAAAAAAAAACTGTGCATGCATGCCGTCCTGTACTAGCTTTTCACCTTGATTAATGCGTTCAGCACACACCCGAATATAGGCACAAGTCCATACATATGCGTGAATCTTGGCATTCTTCAATGGTCTAGATTCATGGTGCAGATGCACCTCGGTTCATATGTGACTTTCCATATATATATATATATATATATATATATATATATATATATATATATATATATATATATATATATATATATATATATATATATATATATATATAGGACACTCGTATGGGGCACCATGGTGCCCGGGCACCATGGTATCTAATGCACAAAATCACTCAAATTTTTCAAAATTTTCAAATTGTGAGTATATACCTAGTTATAATAATTTGATTCATACCTATACTTATCAACAAAACAACTCAAATTTAACTTTATTTCACAATCCATGATTACATACCTAACTAATTATATGTATGGATGCTATATACCTAGAATCAAAATCTAACAAAAACAAGTTCAAATTCAGTTCAAACTTGCTTTAAACTAGTTAGTAAAGTAGTTAATGTTAATACCTAAGTAATTGAAAAAGTTTCATACTCATTTGAATTGGGTATATACTCAATTTCAACAATGGTGCCCGGGCACCATGGAGCACCAAACAAATTTACTATATATATATATATATATATATATATATATATAATACGTAACAAACACTAGATGCAACTTATCATCTCCAAAACCGACCAGCAAAAACTTCTGAAAACTAGAAAAATAGAACCCTGGCAGAAAGACGATTCCGTTTTCGTAGGTCTCGACGACAACAAGCACATGACGACGGCGACGGCAGTGGTACAAAACGTGACTAGAAACTCAAAACTCTAAACGGACTAGACACTAAGACCAGCAACTCGACGCGACGATGCAACGCAAAACTCAAAAAAGCAAAAACTGAATGAACAATGCAATGGCACAAATATGGCTAGGCACAGGATGCAATTTTTTTGAATGGTAATTTTCTTGTTATAGGTAGATAAAAACTCACCAAGCAACAAAAGCTCTGATACCACCTGATAAACCCTGAGCTCAACTCGAGACACTCAAGGCTGTTGTTAGCCCGATCTTTCGGTGAGTTGATGATAACTACGATTTGGGAGAAACATTAACGACCCCACTACAACCGTACTAAACGTTGTTGTGTTGCGCCTTAGTGATCGATACACCTCTCTGTGGGTTGTTGATCTTGCCGGTGCAGATGAACCTTATTCCTGCAAGCAAATCGAAGAAACAAGCAAGAACAAGATAAAAGCAATCTGAATTGCAAATAGGAATCGAGTACAAATGATAAGTTTGGGATTCTGTAACGAGCAAACCGGCGATCTAACCGATCACGGGATTACCCGGCAAAGTAGCAAAGCTAAACTTTAATCTAAACAAAACCCAAGAAATCCTGAAGGGGTACCTAACTATTTAAGGAGGTGGGACGATGACCTAGGGGTCCCTAGGGTTGTGCTCTATCTGGTTGGGGCGCACCCCACATGGGCCCCACTTGGGCCAGGGTCCCATTGGCCCAATATAGGTGACGCGGCACCTTGTTTCTACGATTGCCGTCGACTGAGATGGAATCTGGGGACAAGACTGGATCCATTGGAAAGAGGATTTGGAGGGCTTTCCATCAAGTACTCATGGACCCAAAACGGAGCTCGTATGCAAATTTGGCGGCCGCTTGAAGTCAGCAGTGTAGCAGGTAGCCGAATTGGATTCCAGAACTTTGTCAACTTGATCTTGATGTTAACTACGGTTGTATCTATAGTAGCCATGGTCACATGAGTGAAATGGCTGAGAATGGGAACATGGGAACGTTGGTGTTAAATGTGCCTATATATACAAATGTTGCATAGGGGTTACAATTGTAAATGTGCGTTCCAATCTCTTGTTTTTTATGCCTAGCTACTGTTGACGGCTGTTGACCAATCTAATTGGTCACTGTTTGCAGCCTGTGCCGTTCCAAGGATGCTCTACCAATCTCAGCGCATATCAACGGCTGTGGACGTGGGAGCATATGCTCCCATGGTCCAAACGACATTTTCATATATACTAGAGGGTGGGGCGCGCCAATGGCGCGCCGTCTGTGCACAGTTAGGTTAAAAAGAACAGGTGATAATTAGAATAGTCGAAAGAATGCAGGCAAACACGAAAATTATCGTCAGAGGTAAGCACACACAGCGCTCTGGATTACATACGCAGAGACATTGCATGACATTTCTATGTTCATTCACCCCAGTGCTAACCGAACTAAACAAGCTGAAATAGGAGACATTGTATGGCATTTCCATGTTCATTCACCCCAGTGCTAACCGAACTAAACAAGCTGAAATAGGAAGCCTAGGTTTTCTTTGGTAGATAGTATATCAAGCTTCTAGATAGTATGTACATACGAAGTGCACTTATGCTGGATCATATTTACAGTAGAATAGTGACCATGCTGCCTGCAAAACAAACATATATAAATTGCTATAAGTATTCAGTAGCACTATAACTGTAAAAATGGACAGTTTTAAAAAAAACCACATATAAAGCACCCACTAAACCAAAAGAGGGATGCAGTGAATTACTTTTCTTTCTTGATTACAGCCTTGGACCTCTGAGTGTAACCTGAAGTTGCATGGCTGCTGAATAAAGCAAATAACATAACCATTTAACTATAGTCAATCTAAAATAGGAGTGCTCAACCAAGTACGTTCAAAGAGTAAAGTGTAATAACACTATATTTTTCTTTCTTTCCTCCATTAGGAACAACAGCTTCTTCCTACTGAACACAAGAGCTAATGTGCTATAAATATTGCTCACAATTTCTATGTGGCTGCTGTAGTGCCAAATAAATAACTGAGATAATAGGCACTATTAACATGACAACTAAATTGTAATAGAAATTGATTGGGGTGTGAATTTAATACTAATATGTACTGGAACTGACCACAATTAATAGATTTTGAGTGTCAAACTATAGTTAAAAGTAATACAAACTGAAACTATAACTATAGTTCGAAATACACATACTATGGAAAAAACGTGATATAATACAAATATGTACTTGTACCTGATACATAAACAGAGTTAGGAAACAATTGCATCAATGCAAAATAAAATAAATCAGGAAATGTAAGTAGGAACATTACTTTGGTATCGCAGTCACTGAGGAGCAACCACCAGAATAGCTAGATCAATATGGACTTGCTGTCCTATGATAGTGAGAGCATGATAAAAACTAACACGGCTGAGATGGGCTTTATTTTGCAACAGCTGAGCTGGCAGACTACAAAGCAAATTTTGAAAAAAAAAAAGAGAAAAAAAAGTGACATGTACAAGTCAAAAGCATTGTGTTGTTCAATGAATTTTGTTGCAACATTACCTCAGTTTCCCATGGATCGATATTCTTCAGCTCAGCTACTGTTTTCTGTTCCACTCAAGCCAGACACCGTGATGCGCCAAAAGATTCAGCCATGTGGTATGTCAATTACTGATTTTAAAAGGCGCCATTTCATAGAGTGCATTGAAAAGAACAGACAAAAGCCATAATCAGGATGGAAGTGCATACCAAACATGTGTATGTGTAAGCGGATTTCATATAGAAAAATTTCCATCATATCTTGTCTAAAAGCAAATGAAATATGATGCAGCAAAATTTATCACCACTCCACAACAATGTATTGACTAATAAGAAACAATCCGAATAGCTATTTCCTGGTAATATATAGTGGTAGTATTTTACGACAAAATTACAGATATACAAAAGGCACATTTTTATAAGTAAATCAGGCTAATGGTACTTATTCTTTTTATTGTAATGGGTGTGTGGAATGTGTTACAACACATCAGACCGATTATAATTTATAAACTGTGTATGATATTACAGTTATATATCAGCCTAGATGATATATACAGTTATATAAGTAATTATAAGCTGGTTATTTCATTAATATATAGCTGAGCCAACCTACAAATTAAAACCGAAAGTATGACAGATCTTTTTACTTAAATTGAAGTGCCATGTGTAATTAACTCGACACAACCTAGGGGTGACGGGATTAATTAATTGATACTTACTATTAATCTTTGTAGTGCCAAAAAAAAATTCCCCTCTGGCTTGTTAGAGACGACGGACCTGGCGTAGTCCTCCACGGTGATGTTCTTCTGGTAGTGGTAGACTGGTAGCACACCTCGCAGCCTCCGACCATCTCGTTCAGCGGCTCTTAGATTGACCCCAGCATGGCTACGTGATATACGGTGACCCACCATTGCCCGTGAGAACACTGGTTATCTTCTTAGCCTACGATAGGCCTAGATTCCGAGCCATGGCTCACAGGAAGTCAGGAACTTGGAGGTCACTTGCCTCTAAGGAATTACATGAAATGCAAGACATGAGAGAAACAAAAGAGAGCATACAACTGATTGAAAGCACAGGCGATGAAATGCCTGATGACGTGCAAAAAAGAACAAAACCAACAAAATCCCCCCAGGGAGAGAAGCAAACCTAGGAAAAACTGGCCCTTTGGTTCATCAGCCTGGAGAAACCAAGAGGCACATAGACAAGTGCATTGTAATAGGAAGAACTATGATTCAGGAAGGTGCCAAGAACAAACCCGGGTGGTGTGCCTCCTAGATCGGCCGCCCGCCCCATCGACCTTGGCTCCAGATTCGCCACCATCCTCAGATCCTCTTCTTTCCACCACGCCATTGGCTACTTGCATCTAATGCCGCTGCTCATGAATTTTCCATGTGAAAAGACTAATTATGACTTATACCTTAGTAATATCTTACTTAAATCAAGCATAGTAGCATCTTACTAAAACCGTAAGAAAAATGAAAGTACAAAAAAATCTCGAGCGAAACAAGACAATCCCATGGGTGTAATTTTTCAACTTGCAAGAAAATTTACCCAAGTAACAATACGCTAATATGTATGAACTATCAATTTCTGACCTAAAAAATTACCAGCACTACAAGATTAAAAGTGAAAATTGGGACTGGCAAAGCTGCTAGATAAAAAAAATCCAAAGCAATGCCCTATAGAAATATTAGGATATCAGAAAAATGAACCAATAGATAATGTTACACCATTGGGAAAAATTTTATCATTGGCAACGCCGTTGTGATTTAAATAGTAGAAAAATGCAATCTTGGCACCATCTACAAAATAACTCTTCGTCTTCATAACAAAAGCACATGTAAACTAATGTTCTACTATTCAATCCATCAGTACATTAAATTAGCATGAATACATGTTGACTAAAAATAAATATGCTGAGGTTTATCTAAAACACCATTTCATTTGAAGCAACACAATTAGAGGATAAAACATATGGCATCCCATATTAAATATTTCCATGGTTTCAACAAGTAACAACAGCATTTGCACCTAGATAATCCAACCAAATCACTGAAACTCATTCTCAAGAAATGCAACTAAATGGAAATTTTGAAATAGCACATTATTCTACCATGGTGTACTAAAATAAATTTGAAAAATTCTAAATCATTATAAGTAATTCATGCTAAAATGAATTTTCAACCACATGATATAAATCAAACAACATGATAATTTAAATATGGTTACAGGTAATGACAAGCATATCATGTATATAAATGCTGGGGGCGCCTTGGCACGCCTCCTATATATAGTTTGCTCGAATTGCTGTTTCGAGCAGTGGTACCTACTATGTATTACTTCGTACATAAGAAAGAAAAATGACAGAAACCTTAAAGGTGCATTATTTGAATGATAAATAGTCAGACTATGCATGAGTCGCTGCATAAAATTGGTCGTGCCTGTGATTACATTCTGTGTTGACAACAAAACATGCAAGTAACAGAGCCCTGCTAAATCTACATGACAAGTAACAATTACACAAGTCCAATGGATTGACGAGATAAGAGTATTAGTCAATAGATAGTCCAGACTTCAGAGAATATATATGATTGCTTCCAAGCGCTTCTTAACGTAGAAATGGGAGATGCAAACTGCTCCAATCTGAATGCTATTGGTTGCCACGAAATCTATCCATCTCATTCTGAGGTTGCAATGACCATCTATTGACGTGAGTATGGTGGTTGGGTCTCCTCCAGCTTGTACTTGAATGGTTTAATTTGAACTGGCTTAGTGGCCATATGTCATGTTGAATACTGTCTTGTGAAATATTGGTGAGAAAAGCAACAGTCAGTTTGGCATGTTTTCAAACTTCGCTGCTCAATGGTTGTCTTGTTAATGGTTACCGTCTAAAATTTTTTAGAATGGTCAAGGACTTTTTGATATTTCCTCTATGAAGCTTCTTGTGTCACTTCGTAGGTTCCTCAAATGGGCGTTCAGTTTATTTGTTCTTTTAATGGATACACTGAAAATAGATAAGATATGAAAATCGATTTGAAATACATATGTGCGTGGATAGTTTGAAAAAATATGCTAAGCTCACATGAATTTTTGTAACTGCATTGATCATCACGGTTACATAATTTATCTGTGTCGCCTTCAGAGGATGCTTCTGTAATGTAACGGAGGAGGATTATGAGTAATATAACTGCTATATGAGGTACTAAAGGCAATAATAACTTTATAAGAGTAGATCTTGATCTGCGTGATTCTAAATTTATTTGAAACGTAAATGCGCAAGGATAGTCTGGAAAGTGGAAACAGATGATAAACTTGCATGGATTTTGGGAACTGCATTGAAGACGTTGATCTCCAAGATATGAATCCATTCAAGAAGAAAGAACGAACGGATAGGGCCGAAGGAGGAAGATTTACCAAGATGAGTCGAAGAGGGTGGCTATTCAACCTTGACGAAGTCAGCATGCCAATTTTTTAGGTCGAGACCAACACCTCAGCAGCGTCATGTTGCTCCTTTCCAGCTCCTCCTCACCACACTGGCTGCTGGCCTGCATCAGCATGTCCTCCGCCGCCCTAGAGTGAGGGCTGCCAACGGCAGCCATCATCTTCTTCACCAATACCATCACCTTCTCGAATGGATCTGCTCCTCCTTCCCCGCGATCGAGGGAGACCGGGACAGCAATACACACAGATAAGATCATATATACACCTTCTTTGAGCCACCAAACAGCAAGCATGTGATAGCTTTCTTGACATCAGAATGACCATAAATTCAAGGGCCAATCATTGAGCAAATCTTGGCATACGCATTTGACCTCTGTACAAATTCTTAGAATTCCATTTCCTACAAACCAACAAGAAAATTAACGATGTAAATATGTTGTAGCACCCTTCAACAAGAAACTTGGAATTTTGGAAAGCAGACTACCTCATCAAGTGTAAAATTTGAGGGACCATTTGAGTTGGCATCTAGGGAGGTACCGTTTGTCTATATGGAATAATAAGATTTATTAGTACAAGGACCATTTGAGTTGGCATGGAGGAACATGGACTCATGGAGTACAAGGACTTCACCTTGCAATGAGGCATTAAGGACCAATGATGTTTTCTCAACAATTGAATATGTATATTCTGTTTTATCCATCCAACATATAAAGCTGCCATATTGAGTTTATATTGCTTACAAGTTATACCCAAACTCCGTACAAGTTACTAAACAGAATATGTACAGGAGGCGCGTTGTTCTAATCTCTACAATAATAAGTGACTCAAACTGCACATTGATTGATTAAAAAGAATTGAAAGCTTTCAGCAAGCAAGCAGATCCTATAGATAATTGTTACCTTCTGAAAAACTGGATATCCAGCTTTAAATCTTATGCAAAGGAAGACCATTATTGGCTAGAATGGCCCAGCTCTTGTCACAAGAATGGGTTGCATAGGAATGTTAATATCTCAAAATCTGTTCATGTTGGAAGAGATGGAGTTAGTTTTTGTTCAAAACCAAAAATTAGTGGAACTTTAAATAAAGGCAAAATTTGCTAAAGAACATCTAAAATTTGTGTAATTGGCTGAAGGACACTGCAAAATCGTGTCACTGCTAAGGGACACTACAAAAATGATGTAATTGGCTGTTGGACACTGGAAGCATTATTTTATCATTTTCGAGCAAAAAGTGGAGAGAGAAATTTTAAAAATACAAGTTTGCCCCTGCCTCTTAATTGCACAATCCAAGCGCTGGTTCACAGCCAAGTACACACTTATTGTGGATGAGCTGCCGCTTGAGCAGGTGTGAGGTGAGGTGCGTCATTGCCGACAGTCAGGGGCATCATTGCCGGTGGGGAAGAGCGCTAGGCCCAAAATTAACCTCTTTCAACTTGAAGTACAAGGCAGCGCAGAGCAGTAGTATCCCAAACGTGGGGGTGTCTCGGCCAGCACCGCCGCCATGAAAGCTTTTCCAGCGTTGCGACCACCATGTCGTTCGCCGCCTCCGTATTTGGCTTCAAGGTGAGCACGAAGCCAAGTCGAATGATGGGTGGGCGCAGAAGAACGCCGCGTGCGATTGTGAGTAGAGCTGCTGATGATGGAGCAGGAGCTCGGGTTGCAAAGGGGAAACAAAATGTAAAGCTCGATACCAAATTTTCCGCATCGCCGCCGCTGCCGCTTGCATTGGACCATTGCCTCCTCGCGTCCGGCCACCCCGCCGTCGCTGCCCTTCCTCTCCCTGACGCGGCCCCCACCTCCACCGCTTCCTCTCCCTAACCCTGTCCGCCGACGCTCCACCATCAGGTCGGCCTACACCGACCCCAAAAACCCATCCCGTTTGTTGCTCAATATTGAGCTGAAGCAAGAAGAAGAACAGTGCCAGGGGCACATTCGTACTTTCCACGGTTTTTCTCTCTCCATTAGCATCAAATATAATAAAATAATAGATCTAGTGCCCAGCAGCCAATTACACCATTTTTATGGTGTCCCTCAGCAATGACACGATTTTACAATGTCCTACAGCCAATTACACAAATTTTGGATGTCCTATAACAAATTTTGCCTTAAATAAAATACTCCATCGGAATATAATCAAACACTGAAACCATTGTAAAAGCCAATATGTCCTATGTATTACATCCACTACGAAGCAATATTCGACGAGTACAATGGAACTTAGAATCTCAATATATGAATTACAATGTATCATTATAAATTTCAGTTGCTTTCAACCTCCTTGCAGTTTTAGGAGTAGGATTAATACATAGACATGGTTACTCTAAACAAATTAGCATGTTACCGCACTTTAAAATAAACTAAAGCATAGTTAAAAACACCCATCCATGACCCGCATGATATATTCCAGGTTAGCAAGTTAAATATAAGCTCAGGCCCTCCTATATAAAGCCGTGGCATTTTGGTTATCAAATTTACAGAAAGTAGCAACGAACACAGAAATGTCACCTTGGTCTACCAAAAGATGCGGTATCAGATGGGACTTTTGCAGGAAGATCTGGGTGTACCTTAGTGCAAAGCTTCTCAGCTTGCTTGTAATCTTTTTAGCTTCAACTTGCATGCAACATTGTTCAAGTCACGAGGCGGAGGCGGAGGCGGCGACGGGCACGCGGCGGTTGTGGCGGCCGTGCTCCGAGATGGGGTCGGCACGAGGCGGAGGTGGCGGCGCCGGAAGAAGGAGAGGGAGAAGGTGAGTCGGGAAGGAGGAGAGGATGACGACGCGAGAGGGAGGCAGAGGTGGCGGCGCGAGACGGCGGCGGCGGCGCGAGGCGGAAGAGGGAGAGGAAGAGGGGGAGGCGGTGGCGGCGCGAGACGGCGGCGGCGGCGCGAGGCGGCAGAGGGAGAGGGAGAGGGAGAGGGGGAGGCGGAGGCGGCGGCGCGAGGAAATGGGGACGGCGCAAGGGGGAGGCGGAGGTGGCGGCGCGAGGGGTGGCGGCGGCGGCGGCGCCGGAGAGGGAGAGGGAGAGGGTGCGGGCGGCAACGGAGGGTTTGGGGAGTTAGGTAGTGGGCATTATTTTGCGAAAAAGCCCCTATTATTTTCACTTTTTACATATAGGTTCCTATCCGCGATTTCTCCTCTCCAAATACGTTACTGAGAGACCTATACGGAATTACGAACAAATATGAGAGTTTCTTTGCAAAATCCGACGTGGCGTGCTCCCCGGCCGCCCAGCCCGCCACACTTAAAGGTTTCTTTTAGTGTTGATTAAATTACTTTTAGAGTACTTTTAGATTTAATTAAATTACTTCCTATACATTCATAATTTTAGATTTAATTAAATTACTTCCTATACATTCATAATGCTAGAGGTGACTACCTATTATTGTTTTAGTCAATTCCATAGTTTGTGCTAATTAATTTAGTTTATAGATAGAGTTATGTTTTTATCCCTACAATGGAATTACCCCTAATGTTATGACAAAGTTACTTTCGTTTTGTCTAAAGTTACTTCTATAATATATGTAAATTACATTTAGACTTTATTGAATTTACTTTTGTATGTCTAAGAAGTAATTTAGTGATATCCAAAAGTGAAGGAGGATCGGATGTGAAGGAGGAATCGAGATAGAGATTGTCCCGGAAACAGAGTGAAGATCGGCTGAAGTCCGAATCGGCTACGACTAAGATCGGCAGAGTTCGAGTCGGACGGGGTTAGCCGATTGAGCCGAATCCGACAATATGACACAGCATATGTTGTCGGTTTAGGTTGACGTGCTTCATGATGATTTCCACGCATGGATAGAGTCCTGAGAAGTCAATTGTATCTATTACTTAGGATATTTTATGTAATTTCCTTAGAGATATGTTTGGGCAAAAGTCTACTGCAAAGACTTATGGTATCTTAGAGTTTGTTAGAGATAAGAGTCGTGTCCGATATGAACATATTTTGTAATTCTCGGGTATAAATAGACCAAAGCCCCATGTAATCAAACTAACACACGTTCAATACAATCTCGGCGCATCGCCACCCTTTTATTTTCGTTTTGTTTCGACGAGTTCTTACTTTTAGGTTGAGCTGCATCGGTTTCGATCTTCAACAAGAGGTAAAACTTGTTATGGTGGCTTGCGTTCTCGAGATTAGTGCTTCCATCTTCATGATACTCTAATCTTGTTTATGTAATTCGACGAGTTATCATATATCTTATATAATCTCCGGCAATATCGCTATCTAACCTACAATCGGCTAACAATTGTTACTAGAAGGCAGCCGATTAGGTTAAATACCGATGTTGACTTAGATTATATAGGATATCTACCACTCTATGACATATCCGACGACTTGATTGTCTAGATATTGTCCTTCTTTTCATACTTATAGCTTCATCAGTTGAGTTTGATCTTATGAGTTGTGATTAGAATCTTAATCTCTAGCCTGTCTTTGGTTGCTGATTAGGGTAGTATTGGGGTTTCAGCCGATCTTATCTGATTTAACTACATTTATCCTACATGCTTCTTTGACATGTTAAATTTGCCCTTTATGTTAAGATCTCGTTGCATTTAAGTATATTAGGCTTTTTGTTTGATATATTCTACTCGCTTTAATATCCTAATATAGAGTAGTATCGGAGTATTAGCCGATACATGCTAGATCTATCTGATCGGCTATGCTATGAACACATATAATCTCATTATTAGTATATATTTCGATCTAAGTGATTTATACTGTCTCGGCATGACGACCGATCTATCCCAATCACTTGATTTAAGTATATATCGATCTAAGGATTATATATTGTTAATATCTGCAGCCAATCGAGTAGATTTAGTTCTTTTTATTTCTTAATGACTGCCGATCGATGCAAATATGACGTCGGCTCAAGGATAAATGATATGTCATCGGCACTTAGCCGATCGGCTATCGTTTATGGATTTAACCGCGGTTTTCTTTGTCTTAGTTTCCTGTTGATTGCATGATCAAATCAACTGGCACGCTCACACACCCAAAGGCAAGTTTTGGACCTGCACTGGAGTTAAGCAGATCACCCAGGCCTCGTGTTTTTACATCAACACGCTTTTGGCACGCCTAGTGGGACCGATTAGAAGTCAGAACCGCAACAGCATTCTCTCATGGCTGAGAAACCACCAGCATCGCCATCTTCGGCTGGCAAAGAGACCCCTACCAAGAATCTAAAGTCTGGTGCATTTGAGGTTCACGAAGGAAACATTGCCCCCGTCACTATAGACAAGCTAACACCTGAGTAGAAGAATGAGCTCAATCTGATGATGCAGCAAACACAACACCAATTCTTGAATTCATTCATGGAGACCCGTAAAGGAACAATTGTTCAGAGGTACAAGATGAAATTAGTTGCTGATGTTCCTAGGACAAATTCTTCCAAGGATGGAGAAGTACAACAGGTCTCAGATGGTACAACTCAATCAGGCGATAAAGGCGCTGCAGATGGCTCAGGTGACAAAGGTGGTGGTTCTCAAGGGGCTCAAGGTGATGGTTCTCAGGGATTTCATGGTGAGAATCTTAACCAAGATGGCAACACGACACAGCTACAGTTTAACAACTTCCAATATCGGATTGACTATGCCCTACAACATGCTTTGATTAATCAATCTGGAATGTTAGTCAACACTTTGTCAAACATGGTGAAGTCGATGGTTGATGGCTCAATAGCTGAATACCAGGCTACAGGACCGGTTTATTTGCCAGGAGGTGTTTTCCCAAACTATTGGCCCTTGATCACTAATAATCAGCCAGCTGTTCAGCCAATTCCTCCCAATGCACCATCGGCTCAACCGACAGCACCAGTATCGGCTCCTGCACCAGCTACGCCATCATCGACACCAGGTCAATTAATTAATCCTCGATTGTTGGTAAGAGAGCAGCCATAGCATAGTGGACAAAATGTGAATCGGCTAACTCAAGACCAAGTTGCAGCTATGTTTTTACCACCTCAGCCTACTGTTGACCTAGTCCAGCAACAGCCGATTCAGCAGACGCCACCAAGGCAGCAGGTTGTGCAGCCGATTCAGCAGACGCCACCAAGGCAGCAGGTTGTGCAGCCGATTCAGCAGCAAGGTTTGCTAAATGCATCGGCCGGGTTCAGAACACCCGACAATCAGCCAAGGCAGCACGCTGCAAATCAAGTTGTCCCAGAGCATTTAGTTCATAATGTGCATCCAGATCAAACGGTGATACCTCAAGTGATTCCCGAACATTTGGTGTGCAATATACAGCCAAACTTCCAGAATTATCAAGGGGGCAATTTGAATTATCAATATCAGCCTCCATCACCGCAAGTTCAGTATCAATAAGGAGGATCGGCTCAGCCTCAGTTTGCTCCTCAATACAATCAATTCGAGCCCGTGCCACAACAAGCACAGGGAGTGTCTCAGCAAAGGCAATGGGCCGATATGATTGCAGATGTGATAAGAGAACAGTTTGGGCTCAAGCCGAAGAATGCTGGAAACTTGTATCGGCATCCATACCCTGAGTGGTTTGAGAGGGTTCCATTGCCTAACCGATTCAATGTTCCAGATTTTTCAAAGTTCTCAGGACAGGACAGCGTTTCAACCTGTGAACACGTTAGCCGATTCTTAGCTCAATGTGGGGAAGCATCGGCTGTGGATGCCCTGAGGGTCAGGTTGTTTCCATTGTCTTTGTCTGGATCGGCTTTCACTTGGTTTTCTTCTTTGCCATGTGGATCAATCAACAGTTGGGCCGATTTGGAGAAGCATTTTCATAGCTATTTCTATAGTGGGGTTCATGATATGAAACTGTCGGATTTAACGGCGATTAAGCAAAGACATGATGAACCTGTGCAAGATTACATCCAAAGGTTTAGGGAGATGAGGAATAAATGCTACAGCTTGAGTTTAACTGATGCCTAGTTAGCCGATTTGGCTTTTAAGGGTATGATAGCTCCGATCAGGGAGAAGTTCTCGTCTCAAGACTTTGATAGTTTGTCACATCTTGCACAGAAGGTAACTCTACATGAGCAAAGGTTTGCAGAAGCCAGGAAAAGCTTTAAAAAGGTCAATCATGTCTTTCCCTACATCTATGGATCTGATGATGATGATGATGATGATGATGATGATTCTGAAATAGCTACAGCCGAATGGGTTAGAAGCAAGAAGTTTATACCATGCCAATGGGTGAAGAATTCTGGAAAAGAAGAGAGGTATGATTTTGATATCACCAAGGCTGATAAGATCTTTGATTTGCTACTTCGGGAGAAGCAGATTCAATTTCCTGCTGGTCATACAATTCCATCTGCTGAGGAATTAGGCAAGAGGAGGTATTGCAAATGGCATAATTCTGGGTCTCATTCTACCAATGATTGTAAAGTCTTCAGACAGCAGATCCAGGCGGCTATTGAAGGGGGCAAAATCAAGTTTGATGACTCCAAGAGGTCGATGAAGGTCGATGGCAATCCTTTTCCTGTTAATATGGTGCACACAGCTGGCCGAACAGCCGATGGAGGAAGAGCTAGAGGTTTTTAGGTGAATTTGGTTAGGATTATCAGTAAGTATCAAAAGAAGTATGACAAGCAGCAGGAGAGGCATTATGAAGAAGGTAATGGCGGCTTTGATCCTCATTGGGGTTGTGAGTTCTTTAGATTTTGTTGGAATGAAGGTATGAGGTTGCCATCTATTGAAGACTGTCCTGGGTGCAGTAATGTTGCAGAAAGTTCAAGTCGATTGTATAATAGAGGCAATCGGCCAAGGCAAGCGAGAGTTCGTGTTCATTAAAGATTGGGCCCAGTGAACCAAGACCATGACCAAGAAGACAATAAAGGCAGGAAGACTCAATGGTGTCCTTCTGGTATTTTTAC